CCCTGTGAGATCTAATGGGTCTGTGGGAGGTAATTGGCAGCAGGCGGTCTCTCAAGTACCCAGGTCCAATACCATGTTCCTCCATTGGGGTCCCAGGTCAACTGGCAGTCAGTCTTGAGGCCTTTATGAAAGGACAGGATGACTGGAGCCAACCTCACATCAGAATCGGAAACCAAGATGTTCCAGAGCAGGGGTCTCCAACTTTGGCAACTTTACGACTTGTGGACTTCAACTCCCAGGATTCCTCAGCCAGACTGAGATTTGAGAATTCTGCCGACGGCGAAGGAGCTGGCGCGAGATGTCACTCCGGAGAGAAAGCCTCATCATGTACAAGCTGTTGGTTTCTCCTTGCACCCCTCTTGCTGGAGAACACTTAAAGCTTGACAGACTCTCCCTTGCCAAATCTCTGAAAGAGCCAGCATTCATTTCTCTGACGAGGAACGTCGTACGGGATGCCAATCACGACTCACGCGAGATGATTGATGTAAAACATTGCCGTCCTACTTCTCTCCATCAGATGGATTGTCAGAGCAGGTAAACACAAAGAAACAGATGCCAAAGCCAAGCCTGTCTCCCATTCACCCAAGCAATTGATGTTCCTGCCAAACAGATTTCTGGTGGGTTTTTTCCCCCTTCTTCACTCTCCAGAATAGTGTTTCTCAACTTTGGCCACTTGAAGATGGGTGGACTTCAACTCCCAGAATTCCCCAGCCAATTCTGAGTGTTTAAAGTCTGCTCACTTTCAACATCTATGGAAATTCTCAGCCATCCAGGTTGACTCGAAGGTGATTTTTTCAAGAGGCAACTGCACCCTCTCTGTTTTTCCTTGAAGATGTTTCACTTCTCAACCAAGAATCTTCTTCAGTTTCAGTGTTCTCAACTAAGGCTTTCAATCTTTCCGTCTTCTCTGCCAAGAGCTGAAGAAGCTTCTTGATTGAGGAGCAAAACGTCTTCAAGGAAAAACGAAGAAAGCCCAATTGCCTCTTGAAAAAACATGGGCCTCACGGGACAACCATGAGCTGGATCCATAAGAATCTCCGTAGACATTGAAAATGAGTGGACCTCAGCACAGCTGGCTGGGGAATTCTGGGAGTTGAAGTCCACCCATCTTCAAGTGATCAAGGTTGAGAAACATTGCTCTAGATTAACAGTGGTCTCCAACCTTGGCAACTTTACAACTTGTGGACTTCAACTCCCAGAATTCCTCAGCCAGCATGTGCTGGCTGAGGAATTCTGGGAGTTGAAGTCCACAAGTTGAAAGTTGCTAAGTTTGGAGACCCCCTGCATCTAGAACACTTTGGAATGCCTTACAAGTTTCTTTGGATGGTGTTTCTAACCGTAGAAAGAACAGCTTTCCTGCCTTTAGATTGGGAAATTGTCCCACCCAGGGTCATTTCAAGAGACTCCAAAGAAGAGAAAGGAGACAGTTTGGAAGCTACCTAGGAATTCCATTGTTATGTAGGTTGACTTGGACAAGGTAATGAACTCAGAAATGCTTTTTCCTNCCGAGCGCCTTTGGCATTTAGTCATGCTGGCCACATGACCACGGAGATGTCTTCGGTTTTGAAACAGAGATGAGCACCGCCCCTTAGAGTCGGGAACGGCTAGCACATATGTACAAGGGGAACCTTTACCTTTACTAATAATTAATACTATAGGCTCACAAGTTATTTGTCATAGGATCATTGATATTAAAACGGCAGAAGCTAGACAACAGTTGATAAGATGGTTTTTAATGGAACTTTTGCAAGGGCCACAGCTGACAAAGCTGAGAATTTCTGTTCTACCACTTGAGCGTCTTGTAATGTTTCATTTTCTACTCTTTTTTTTCCCCTTCCCAATTTGCCCTTTCAGAAAGGGCAACTTGGCAGACCCATCCTGGACATTCCATACTGGAACGCCAAGCCAGCAGCGGTACCTAACGTGGGCTCCAAGTTTGGACGCAAGGCCACCTGGGTGGGAGCCAGTGGGGATCAGACGTTCCTTCGGATTGACGAAGCTCTTATCAACTCTCATGTCCTTGCAACATCGGAGATTTTCGCCAGTCGGCATATCATAGGCAAGAAGCTTGTTAACTGCTGCAGCAGCTCAGGGGAACCACGGATTTCTAGCTGATGTGTTAATTTCCTCTAAGAAGGGACTCAAAATCATTACTTGTTAATTGGGGAGCCCAGAGGGGGTGCATGATGGATGGGAAGGAAGAACCAGGTTGCCTTGCAAAGCTGCATCAGCAGTTAGAAGTGAGCTGTGGGTGGGATGTGCAGATGGACCTGACAGGAATGAATGAATGAGAATCTTTTGCTGCCCTCCCTTCAGGGTTATGGGGCACAGTCATGTTGCCCTTCCTACGTTGTCTGTGCGAGAGAGTCTCTAGCTATAGCTCCTCATGTAGATGGATTTTTCTGCAAAATGGGAGTTCTTCCATCACAAAAATTTGGCCTGTATCTGAGGAAAGGAAAGGGGAAGGGAGGGGAGAGGGGGGAGGAGAGGAGAGAGAGAAAGGAGGGGAGGGGAGAGGACAGGAGGTGAAGGAAAGCAGAGGAAGGAGGGAGAGGAGAGGATGGAGATGAGGGAGAGAAGAGGAGGGAGAGGAGAGGTACACACTTAAACTTATATTAGGGAAGCCTAACTTTTGACATGCAATAATTTTAGTCAGGATAGCCAGTTGATGTAATGGTTAGAGGCATCAGGCTGGAAATCAAGACCACGATTCCAATCTTTCCTTAGAAACAAAGCCAGCTGGATGACCTTGGCTGTTCTTTATGGCTCAGTCCAAGGAGGAGGCCAGAAAAGCCGCTTCTGAACAACATTGCCAAGAAAATTACAGGGTCTGGTCCAGGCAGTTAATTCGAAGGCCGCCCGTACACACTCTTAACACACAAAACCCATCATTTATTAGATGACCACTGGGGTGGGTGGGGTTGGCCTTGCCTTTTGTTGGAGCGTGGCCACCTATGTCTGCAGGCTGAGTTGCCAAGAGGAGAATATAGGAATATATGTGTGCGCCTATCATAACTCCCCACCCCCTTCTTATTATCTTTAGGATAGGGGAAACTTCTTAACTTCAGCTCAGGTCAATGCAGTGAATATTATCCTTAATATGACTTGGTCATTTAAGAGACCAAATAAATGGCCCAATGTCTGACTTTCGCTGATGTGTTTCTTAGGCTTGATTCCAGCTTCCATATCGGAGCCTCCTCCGTTCAAGTGTCTTTTGATAAACAAAGTTGACGGAAGTTGTAAGACGTTTAATGATTCTGAACAGGAAGACCTTCAGGGGTTTGGCGTCTGTCTAGATCCTGTTTATGATGTCATTTGGCGGTAAGTGTTGGCAGGGGTAGAAATAAAATACTACCGGGCGGGAGAATAATTTTTCAAAAGCCAGTTTAGGGAACCTGGGAAAGGACCAAGGCATCCTGCTTTGGAATGATGAATCTTTCCTTTCCCCCCTTTTTTTAATTAACAGCAATCCTTAACCAGCATTCGTAAGGAGATAACATCAGCGTATATGTCCTTGAAATGTTTCTGGCTTAAAGAAAAGGGAATATGGATGAGCTCATAGGGTAGTGATGGTGAACCTTTTCGGCACTGAGTGCCAAAAAGGGAGCCCGCGGCACATGCATTTCGCACACATGCATGCTCATCTGGGACGCGACCCGGAAGAGGAAGTGCCCAGGGGGCATGTGCGTGCTGGGAAATGCACTTCCGGTTTCCAGCGGGTGGATGGGCGCCAGCCAGCTAGACTTCTGGTTTCTGGCATGCATGCATGCATGATGATCAGCTGGCCACCTGCTGCAACTTGCACTATAGCCTCCCTCACTCTCGTTCTTTTGCCGGTAAATCACGTTTACAGGTAGTCCTCAATTTACGGCCACAATAGAGCTCAACATTTTTGTTGCTAAGCGAGACATTTGTTAAGTGAGCTTGACCCCATTTGACGACCTTTCTTGCCACAGTTGTTAAGGGAATCACTGCAGTTGTTAAAATAGTAACACCAGAGGTGGTAGTTTGCCAGTTGGGACCGGTTCACCCGAACTGGTAGTGGAAATCGCGGGTGGCCCTGCCCACCTGCCCCGGCTCTACGGCAACCCATTTAGGCCCTTTTTTCAGACAAAGTACATGCACGGAAGGCTGAGCTCATGCGTGGATGTGCCCGCGCTCACATTTGCGAACCGGTAGGGAAGGAAAGGGAATACCACCCCTGAGGAATGGTTGTTAAGTGAGTCTGGTTTTCCCATTGACTTTGCTTGTCGGAAGGATCACTAAAAGGATCACATGACCCCAGCACTGTCATAAATGTGAGTCAATTGCCAAGCATCTGAATTTTAATCGTGTGGCCAGGGGAAGGCTGCAATGGTGGTAGGTGTGAAAAATAGCTGTGCCCCTTATTTTCAGCGTTGTAACTTCTAACAGTGCTGTTGTAAGTCAAGGATTAGCCACATTTCTTCGTTAGGCTTATATTCTGCCTTTCGTGCAGGAGCTTGAATTCAGTAGGGTTTGTTTTCTGATACACACACTGGTTGGCAACCTTTGTGTTGAGATGGAGCCTGTGCCACCTTTGGGGGGTATGTGGCCCCCCCTAGCACGCAGTGACGGATGGTGCCTCTTCCTGCCAATGCAAAGATTTGCGTTTTTAAAATGATTTGGAAGGAAGCTTTGACACCGTAGGCCACTGCCTACTCAGCCTTAGCATAAAGCCAGCCTTTCCCGAAGTTGCACATTTTATACCTCCAGTAGAATTTGTATTGTTAGAAAGATAGAATGTTTTGTCCTCATTCTCTCATAATTTTCTATAATAAGACCGATCTGCCTGTCTGTTGCAGGACAAGAAATACGAAGTGGCAACCTTTAATCTGAAATCCATTTGTTTTGAGTTTATTAGGCCGCAGCTATAATAACAGCTTGAAAGGTGTCGAATCTTATTATTTTGATTAGGTTTCGACCAAATACAAGAGAATTGTGGAGTTACAACTCAGTTGTGGCCGATTCCAGACTTCCCTCCGCTTCGGATACACAGTCCCGTTGCAGCATTCTCAGTCCAGAACTGGCTCTTCCAACAGGATCTAAAGCTCTTACTACAAGATCACATGCAGCTTTGCACATGCTGGGTATGAACAATCCACCTCAAAATAACTAGCAAAACATTATTGCTAGAGTAGCTTTATTAACTGTAAGAACGATACAGATACTCCTCATTTAGTGGCTACAATTGGAACCATCGACTGTTGTTAAATGATGTGGTGCTTACTGGAAAATCACTTAATTTGATTTTACTGTGCTTCTGATTTTACTTCAGCTATCCTTTTCCTCCATTCCCCCACCCTTTGGCATGCCATTTCCTCTGCTGGTTTAATTAGCAATTTAATGTTTGTATTTATAGTCATTGCAGAGGAAAGGATTGTAAGAAAATAAGCCGGGACACAGTGGGAATGCATATCGAAAGAATATGCTGACACCTGTTTGTGTAGCTTGCTATCACATTCCTTTTGATGTCTTCTCCCTGATGTATGCCTGCTTACTCTCTTGTAATCCCTTCCTCTCCAATCTCTTTGCTTTGGAAGGAACGCAGGAGGGATTGTCAAAAGAGCTAGCTTGTTTAAGCTCTCCACTCAGCAAGTCAGGGAAAAATGAAAGCAAAAGTGTCAGGTACAGGACAGCACATAATAATTGACTGTAATGCCGAGCACATGACTGAAGGAGACAGATGCTGTGAAACTTATAAATGCACACCTTGTTTGCAAAGTAATTTTTTTTTCAGCACCATCATAACAGTCACTGCACAAGGTAGTCAGTGAGGTCGACTTTTTATTTTTTAAAAATGCTTTTATAGTTGAATTCATGGAACATTCAAGGGCTGTGTGGTCAGATAGATATTAAATGTTTTAATAAATATAAGTCAGCAAGCTTGTTGACCTGAAGAATTGTTGTGGCAGAGCTGGCAGCAGAGTTAGACTGTTGGGGAGGAGTTAGAGGTTGGGAAGGAGCATGGGCCAGTTCTGGAGGCTTGGGAAGGCTCAGACAAGGGCTCTGCATCAGAGGCAGAAAGGGGGCCAAGGCCGTCTGGCAGTGATCAGCTGCCTTCGGAGCTAGACAGCAGTGATGCAGAGGAACAACTAGAGCCTGTTCTCAGTGTGCACATGCACAGAGCTTCCATAAGAAAAGAACAAATCAGAAATCAGGGTAGACTTGGGAGTAAAGTCACAGGTGGAAGGTGATTGGCCCCTCCCATAGGAAATAAAAGAAGAGTGAAAGGGGAGTGGGCTTTTGCAGGAAACAATTCGTTTGTTCGGTCATTAGATTTGTTTCAGGAGTGTAAAGATCTGTCCGTGAATCTCAGAGACTCTGCCCAGTCTTTCCTTGCACAGCACCTCATTTGGAAAATATTTACATGGCAGCTTTCTAAGATAAATAAGGTCTGTAGTCATAAATATTATTTTGAATGACTTTTTGCCAGCCTTGCTGAATGCGAATGAGAGGAATTCATGTTCATTTAATAAAAGGGGTTTTATCGGGATCAGGGCTCTGCCGCATGCATTTTGGGGAAGCCTAGTTCAGAACAAAAAATTCTAATCCTACAGCACAAATAATTTAAAAAGTGTTTTATTCCTTTCGCATTTTTTAGATAGAAAGCCAGATTTACTGTCTTACATGCCAGGTGCTCCCCAACCCACATCTGAACAATTACTCTTTGTTAACCTGTTCACACTGCTTCATTTGCATGGATACGATCCGACTGCATTCATGCTTTTGCTTTATTTCTAAAGGTTGCCTTGACACTCTGGCAGCCATGCAAGACTTAAAAATGGGCGTGATGAACACAGAAGAGGAGAGTCACGCGGTGATGAAAGTCTACTCCAAGGAAGACTACAATATTGTCAACCGATTTGAAAGTAACCCTCGCTTTCTTAGCTGCTGATCCCTCTCCCCCGTCCCCTCTTGGTCAGGATGTCCCTGTGGACAGTTGTGTGACCACCTGCTTTCCTTTTTCCTTAGGTCATGGAGGAGGGTGGGGTTACTCAGCCCACTCTGTGGAAGCCATTCGTTTTTGCGCGGATACTGACCTCTTGCTTGGTGGCCTGGGCCTTTTTGGTGGCAGGGGAGAATACACCGCTAAGATAAAGGTGGGCCAAAGGAGCTTTGTTCAAATCTGAATTTGGAACATAGCATGGCTTTGATCAGGCAGCCCTTGAAATACCAGGAGAATGAAGCTTGCTTTCATGCAAAAAAAATATATCTGAAAATAAATGTGTAACTAATAAGAAACATGCAATTCACATTTGATTTTTTCAGAAGTTCTTCTCCCTCTGTTCCTTCAAATATATTTCTTACTATACCTTGTCATAGTATCTACATTATTTACATAATGAATGTCTGTGGATATTTGCAACTTATAATATCTATGAGTTGTAAATATCTACAGACCCCTTACATCCTGGAAATAAACTGGATATAGGGTATTGCTATAGGATGTTGTATGCCAAAACAGCTGGATACAAAGACAGTCCCCGCCGTGCCGTGCCGTCCCCCCCCCCCCCGCTTCTAGTGCCTTTATTCTGCTAAACATAAAATTCCCACGGCACGGTTTTATGGCTAGGGATATTTACCTAGCTGTGTTACTATTACCTTTCTCATCTTTTCTACTATCTTCTCGTATCATTGTTATGATTTTTATTTTGCTTGTACGCTGAGAGCTTCTGCACCAGAGACAAATTCCTTGTGTGTCTAATCATACTTGGCCAATAAAGAATTCTGTTCTGTTCCATTCTGTTCCCTATTCCGTTCCATTCTAATGTGGCTTTTGTTATTCTTATAAAATAGACCTAATGTTGTCATGTGGTGGCACATATCTAAACTTGGGAGAAGGGGGGTATTAAAATAACTGAACCAATATAATCCACCACATTGGTTAAAATAATTCTTTAGTTTCTAAAGTCATCCTGAGCTTTTGGCAAGGCTAGCATATCAGGCTTCATGGAAAACTGTAAACCCTGTAGCTATTGCGGTGATGAAGATAAACTGAATAGTCCACCATTTATTTCATCCAATGCTCTCAAAACTTTGACTTTTGTATTGCATAATAAATAGTCAGGCTGCATATCTTCCTCATTCTGTTATGTGTTAAAATGAATTGTCTGGACTGGTTGAAAAGAGTTGCACAAGAATATTTGTCGTGAATTCAATTAAAATTCTAGGAACAATAGAGTTTGGGTGTGTTGACTTTAGAAAATGCCAAACAGGGTGTTCTGTTTGAAGTTTCAGAATGACTAAGTTTTGTTCCAAAATTAGAACATGTTCCCAGAAGACATGAGTGTGCTTGATGCTTATAAGGTTGAAAGTAACCTTTTTATTTACCTATCAGCCTTTACCTACCTGAGGCTGCCTTGGGCTTCTGAAGTGGTAGCCGTTGCCTTCAATAATAGCCCATCCTCACTTGCTCAGTGTCTCTGAGTCAGGGTTTTGGTTCTCAGATTGCTTCCTTGGCACCTGCTGAACCGCACACAATTAGATTTTCCCCGAGAGAGACACTCTCTTAGATAGCTAACGTTTTTATTGTTGCGTGCCGAAAGGAATAATGCAATGCATGCGCTACAACCCCTGTGTGCCCCGCCCCTCTGCGCATGCAGGTGTGACCCCCTGCACCCCCCCCCCCCGGGCATGTGCACACAACTCCCCCCCTGCACCCCTTTTTGGATCTAGCAGACCTCCCTGAAGCCTCCTAGGACCAAAAACAGACTGCGTGGGGGGGCACTCTGTACCCCCCCTGCCCCCCTTGCATGCTCGGGTGACCCCCTGCCTCCCCGTGCATGCATGTGCGCCTCCTACATGTGCAGCAAAGACCTGAAAATCAGCTGGCCGGTGGGAGCTGTGCATGCACAATGGAGCTGTGCTGAGGTGACAGCTTGCGTGCCCGCAGAGACGGCTCCCTCTCACCCTAGTGCCACAGGTTCGCCATCACGGCATTAGGGTAGAGGGTAAGAAGAGAGCGACCTCCCAGTCCAGCCAGAAGATAAACGTTGAATGTTTCTCTTTTTTTTTAAAGCTCTTTGAGTTGGGGCCAGATGGAGGTGACCATGAGACGGATGGGGACCTTCTTGCTGAAACGGATGTCCTGGCGTACGATTGTGCCGCAAGGTGAGTAGAATTTAAAAAAAAACGAATCGCTTCTCTTAACCTGAGTTTTTATTTTCAGTTTAAAAAGGGAGAACATCTCGAAGGCACCCAGTTCAGAATAAGGAGGACAATTCAACTTATTGTCTCTTTGAATGTACACTCATCGGCATACATTAAAATGAAATTTCATTGCCTATAACTCTCAAAGGATCATCACCTCCAATGTACACTACATTTATTTATTTATTTATTTATTCATTCATTCATTCATTCATTCATTCATTCATTCATTCATTCATTCATTTGAGCCCTCTCTAAGCGGTTTACAAATTTTTTAGCA